ATAGCCTGTTATACTATGTGGGTGCTGGGAACTGAACCCAGGTCCTCTGGAAGAGCAGCAAGTTATTCCCAGCTGCTGAGCCACCCTTTCCAACCTGCATAACAGAGCAAAGAGCAAGAGTAGCTACAGGGCGAAGATTCAGGAATGTCTTCCTGGCCCTGTCTTTACCCTGTTACCCCACCCCTACCTTTCACCCTTGTCCCTTCCCACCAACATCAAGACACTGAGTGGGTCATTTTCTCATGCTCAGTCTGGTCCTGCAGGCATGTCCCATGTCACACTCAGAGATTGCTGGCAGATGTCTGTGGGGGCTGGGAGAAGCTGGGTTACAATCCCCAAGGACATCATTAAGGCACAGAAGTACTAGAGGGCCTTGGAGACCAGGGCACCAAGGGAGAACATGATGAAAACATGTTTTGTACAACACGTGTCCTTCCCTTATCCCTCCTCCCCTCCTTTGCCCACCTCCTCCTTCCAGGTGCCCAGTGCGAAGGCTGGTGCTGGCCCTGCCTCAGTGATTGTTCAGTTTTACCCTTGTACCGGGTCTGTCTGTGCTCGCCAGCTGGTTGGCTCCGATGATGTGTAAGTTTGTGTGTGGAAGGTCCTCACCAGCCCCAGGGCTGTCCGGATCTCTGTGTAGAATAACGCCTTGGTTTTGAAGCATAACATTTAGGGCTGCTCTGCACTGCTCTAAGAATTTCTTTCCTAGCAGACACCATTCATGAATTCAGCAAATTCGGATTGAACAGACTATGTGCTAAGCAGTATGCTAAGCCCTGGGAATACTTATATATGGTCCCTGCCCTTGTTGGCTCGAAGGCTGCTGGAGGTGTCAGGTGTTAACTAACTAGGGCAATCGGACCGAGAAGTGCTGCAGGAAGAAGGGTGTGTTTACACCCAGCCAGCTTTCTGGGAAGAAGAAAGGGAGAGAGGGGGGTAACGAAAGAATATGTTCAAAGATCCTGGGACCGAGGTCTGAGATCTCAATCATATCACGCTGATAAAAATAAGAGGGGGTCCCTATTCCTATGCCACCCCCGTGTCCAATACGCCATGAAGAAGGGACAGTAAAAGCCTCCTCGTGGCCAAAGCTGATCCTAGGACACATGGTAATGCTGTGCTGGAATGACTTCGTGTGTTCCTTCTCCTTGTCCTAAAGGGTGAAACCGAGACACAGAAAGGGAAGAATTACAGGCTTAGGCTTGAGATTACCATACAGAAATCAAGGCTCCAAATTGACAAATTCTCCAGCATGAAGAATCTTGCGTTTGCCTGGCTGGAGCCTCCTGGGGAGAAAGCTTTCTCCTCCCTGTACACTCCGCCTCCTGCAGATCCAGCCCTGACCTGCCCTACTCCCTGGAGCTACCATGTCTGCCTCCACAGTCCATGCAGTGTGGATGAGGTGAGCGCTCCAGGTGTCTGCCAGCAGCGCGTAGGCGGGTGCAGCTGTCTATTTTGCACAGAACCTGCCTAGGGGAGGGAGGATCTTCTCTCTCCTCCTCCATCCATTGCCCAGGTACCCAAGTTCTAAGGGTCTTCCTTCAACTGCTTCTTTTTAATTCAGTGCTTGGGATCAGACCCAGGGCCTTGTAAGTGTTTGGTAAGGGCTTCAGCATGGACCTACATACCAGTTGCTCAGGTTCTTCCTTCTGAAGAAAAGAGTGGAAGGCCCTCTGGAGGAGGGAAAGGGCCTCTCTGTGGCCATGCCACCTCTGGAGGTGGCAGAGGTCATGGGACCAATGGGGTTAAGCTCCATCCCTGCTCTGACCTACTTTTCTACCTGTGCCCACATCCCCTGAGGCCAGGCTGTTGGGTGGGGCCAACCTGGCACCCCTGCACCCACACCTGGGACTTCCCCTGATTGGAAACTCCCAGGACCCAGGCCTCCTGCCTGCTCTGCCAACTCCCACCAACAGCCTGGGTTCAGCTCACCCATCCCCTGTCAGATCTCTGCCAGTCTCCTGCCAAACTACATCTAGATACCCAAACCAAGGGACCCCAACCCTGTGGGTCCACCTGTTACAGTCCCCTTTGATATCTGGCTGCCTGCCATCTGAAGTTTTTTTTTTTTTAGGAAAAGATGTGGGGAGGGAGGGGACTTGCAGGAAGCTGCCCTTTGTTGAGCACTTACTGTGTGCCGACATACTCTCATGTACATAATCTCATTTAATCCACACCAATGGGATCCAGAGAGCTCACAGTTACCATCCTCAGTCTATAGACGAGGGAGTGAGGACACAGCCGAGCCAAGATGAGAACCCGGGTATTGGCAGTCTAAGCTCTCGCGGTCATAGCCGACGTTCTGTGCCAGTTATAGCCTCCCACTCCTCTCTCCACGGGACAAGAGACTTGGGAACTAAGTACGACCTAACGCAGCAAGCATTTATTAAGCATCTTATAGACACCAGGCACTGACAGGTGCCAGAAATAAAGAGGTCACTGTCCCCAGGGTCTGTGGGAGAGATGTGTATATGGACTAGGACATGTCTAACTCCAGGGTCCCGAACGAGCCTTGGATTTGCTATGTAGCCTTAGATGACCTTGAACGTCTGGTCCTGAATGCAGAGTTACGGGCATGCAGCACCCGTTTATGTGGTGATAGAGACCAGAAGGAAAGCCGGGCGGTGGTGGCGCATGCCTTTAATCCCAGCACTCGGGAGGCAGAGCCAGGCGGATCTCTGTGAGTTCGAGGCCAGCCTGGGCTACCAAGTCAGTTCCAGGAAAGGCGCAAAGCTACACAGAGAAACCCTGTCTCGAAAAACAAAAACAAAAACAAACAAACAAACAAACAAACAAAAAACAGAAGGAACCCAGGGCTTTATATATGCCAAGTGAGCAGTCTACCAGCAGTCATATTCCCCAGCACAGGAAGAGTATTGTGTATGTGTGTATGTGTGTATGTGTGTGTGGTGTATGTGTATGTGTGGGTATGTATGTGTGTATATATGCATATGTGTATATATGTGTGTGTATGTGTATGTGATATGTGTATGTGTGCTATGTGTGTGTATAAATGTGTGTGTGTGTGTGTGTGTGTGTGTGTGTGTGTGTGTGTGTGTGTGTGTGTTTCAAGACAGGGTGTCTCTGTGTAGCTCTAGCTGTCCTGGAACTCTCTCTGTAGACCAGGCTGGCATGGAACTCACAGAGATCCACCTGCCTCTGCTGGAATCAAAGGTGTGCACCTCCACCGCCTGACTCCCATTCTGTGTTTTTAAAACAGAGTCTCTCAATGACCTGGCGCTTCCCAGGTAGGTTAGGCTGGCTGGCCAGTGGGTTCCAGGGGTACAGCTGTCTCTGCCTCCCCAGTACTGGAATTATAAGCACGCACCACCACGTGCTGGGGACCAGACTCAGGTCTTTGTGCTTGCATGGCAAACCTTTAACTAAACAAGCTGGATCCTCAACCTCCTTTTCCATTCGTCCTGCTTAAGCACCTAGTGTTTCTAAACAACTCAATTTTTTTTTTTTTTTTACTTACTGTATAGCTCAGGCTAGCCTCAAACTCATAATCTCCCTGCCTCAGTTTCTCAAGGGCAAGCATCCCATGGGATTACATTTGCAGTCATACCTGGCTCCATTTTCCTTGTTTCTCGGCTTGGTAATAGAACAGTAGTGTAACTCTTTTCTGTCAAAAGAGTTACAAAATTTTTGCTCAACTCTTCTGTGAGACTTTTTTTTTTTTCACTTTTAAAATTTTTATGTGTATAGGCTGTTTGTCTGCATGTATGTGCACCATGTGTGTACCTGGTGCCCACAGAGGCCAGAAGAGGGTGTTGGATGCCCTGGGATGGGAGTGACAGACAGTTGTGAGCCACCATGTGGATGCTGGGAACTGAACCCGGGTCCTCTGGGAGAGCAACAAGTACTCTTAACCACTGAGCCATCTCTCCAGCCCCTTTGCACATTCTTGAGCATGACAGTTTTTGGAGAATAGTGGCCTGAGTCCAACCATATGTTCAATTTTCTTTTCTTTCCTTTTTTTTTTTTTTTTTTTTTTTTTTTTGTTGGTGTTGGTGTTGGTTTTAGTTTTGCTTCGTTGGAAGCAGGGTTTGGGGTATGTACCACAAACTGACTTCGAACAGGCAGTGTATACTCCTGCCTCAGCTCCCAAATGCTGAGATTACAAGCATGTGCCACCACATCCCTCAGGTTCAGTTCTATCAGACAATGCCAAGCGGTTTACCAGATGGTTATATTAGTCGGCTAGTACCTATAATCCTGTAACTGTGGAGGTCAAAACAGGGGGTTCAGAAGTTCAAGGTCATTAGCTACATAATGATTTTGAAGCTACCTAAACTACAGAAGACCCTGTCTCAAAAAACAAAAACAAGTTAAAAAATAGGTAACAATAAGTTCTAACAGGGTCAAGAGTAGCAACAAGAAGCCCCCAGACTTGTTATCTCAAACCATCTGTGGCTATTCCTTTTTACTTGAGTAAAATCCAAGTCCCTGCAAGCGGTTGGTGCTCACGCCTTTAATCCCAGCACTCTGGGAGGCAGAGACAGGGGGTCTCTGTGATTTCGAGGCTATCCTGGTCTACAGAGTGAGTTTCAGGACAGTCACAAATGTTACACAGAGAAACCCTGTCTCGAAAACACAAAAGAAAACAGAAGATCCAAGTCCCTACCTTGACTCTCAAGCCCTCCTTGGTGAGGCCTCTCCACCTTAACCCCTGACCTGTGTCATCAGGAGTCTTGCACTCTGTGGAATGCTCTCCCCTTGGAAATTTCCATGGCTTGTTGTCTCACTTCCTTCCAGTCTTGCCCCAAGATATCTTTCATTAGGATTGCAATCTCCAATAAGAATAAGGGAGCCCCCAGATTTGATCTCCAGCACCACATTAAAGAAGGTGAGCAGGCAGAAGACAGGCTTATAACCTTCCCTCCCCTTCCCTCGACTCCCCTCCTCTTCCCTTTCCTTCCTTCCCCTTTCCTCCCCTCCCCTCCCCTCCCCTTTCCTTCCCCTTTCCCTTCCCTCCCCTCCTCTCCCCTCCCCTCCCCTCCCTCCACTTTCCCCCTCTCTTCCTCTTCTTTTCCCTGTATTTTACATATTATTGTTGGGGTGCTCACTCATGCCACAGCGTAGTATGAAGGTTGTAAAACAGCTTGTGGGAGTTGACTCCCTTCTTGGTGGTGAATGTCAGGTCTCCAGGCTTGCAGGCCAGAACTTTACTGGCTAAGCCATTTCTCCAGCCCTTCTCTCTTTTATTTATTTTGTGGATTTATTTATTTTTATGTGTATGAGGGTTCTGCTTGCATGTATATTGTTGTACCACACGCATATCTAATGTTCACATGATTCAGAAGAAGGCATCAGATCTCCTGGTACTGGAATTCCAGATTGTTATGAGCCATGTGAGTGCTAGGAACTGGACCCAGGTCCCCAAAAGAGCAGAAACTGCTCTAAATTGATACCCCATGTCTTCTGCCGGCTCCTCTTCTTTAATGTGGTGCTGGGATCAAATCTGGGGGCTCCCTTGTTCTTTTTATGTTTTTGTTTGTTTGTTTGTTTGCTTTTCGAGACAGGGTTTCTCTGTGTAGTTTTGGTGCCTGTCCTGGATCTCGCTCTGTAGACCAGGCTGGCCTCGAACTCACAGAGATCCACCTGGCTCTGTCTCCCGAGTGCTGGGGTTAAAGGCATGTGCCACCACAGCCTGGCCAGGCACCCTTATTCTTACCTGGTTATTTTAGGCTCGTTCAGTCTCAGACAGCCCCTCTCCTCTGCCAGGGCTTGGCAACTTGCCCAGAATCCTTAAGGACCATCCAGCCAAACTGTTGGGGTGCTGTCTAGGTTCCCCTCTGTGAACCACTTTTATCCGATGTTCCTATGACAATGAGAATAACTACTCACGCTCTGAAATGCTGACTTATCGACCTGTTGGGCTCTTGTCCCCACCCTGCACTACTCCTTACTTTTATGGGCCCTCCCTAACAGGGGAAATTCAGCTATCTAGTCCACTCCAGCATCCAGCCCTGATCCATAACAGGCCAGCAAATAATAGCTGTCCAAGCCAGTTGTTGGTTTCTCATAGACAGCCAGGCACCCCCACACCCACACTCCGGACTCGCTCACTCTAGAAACTCCCAGAACCCAGGCATCTTTAACAGGCCTATCATCTCCAGCAGCATCCCTGACTCAGTCCCCTGGAGTGCTTCTACTGCTGGGCTGCCTCCCTGAGGCCCCTGGGAGCTTATGGAGAACCTGAACCCTAGTTCTGGCCCACAGGGCTAGAGAGACTCCGGCAGGTATCCAGGCCTAAAATTGCTAGAAATTCCTTGTGATTGAATAGAGGGAAGGAAGGTAAGACCGGTTCATTCCAGCCGAAGGAACAGTGTGAACAAATGACTGCTGGCTGGCATGAAAGTGCACATCCTAGCCGGGCAGCGGTGGCACACGCCTTTAATCCCAGGTGGATCTCTGTGAGTTCGAGGCCAGCCTGGTCTACAGAGAGAGATCCAGGACAAGCACCAAAACTACACAGAAAAAAAACCCTGTCTTGAAAAAAAAACAAAAAAAGAAAGAAAGTGCACATCCCATTTGAGGTATGGTCCTGATCTGGTCTGGGTAAAGGACCATCAGCAGAAGGGAGGGTGGATGAAAGTGTTGTCAGATCTAGAAGAGAATGGCCAGGTGGAGAGGTCTGAGCTCCCTACAGGATCAGCAAGGCTCAGAGTTTCTTAGACTTAATCCTGCTCCCCACAGATCCACCCAGCCCTCCCTTCTACCCAGCCCCCAGCCTGCCTGATCCTGCCGCCAAATGGACTTCTCTCTGGGCCTACGCTTGGGGCCTCGGAACAAGAAGGCCACCTACCAGGAGCCCCCTCCGCCCTCTGGGCATGGGCCTCCAGCCACCTCTCCCTGCTTGTCCTGCCCCCCTTCTTCTGTTTGTGCCTGCCCCAGCTGCCCCAGCTGCCCCCCTCCCAGCTGCCCCTGCTCTGCTTGTCCCTCGTATCCAGGTCCCTGCCCTTCCTGTCCAGGTCTCCCGGGCCCACCCTGCACCTGCTCTTGCCCTCCTTGCTCTGCCTGCCCTCCCTCAACGTGTCCCCATTCTTACTGCGTCCCCTGCTCAAGTCCGCCTGTGACCTACTGCCACCCCTCACCTTGCCTGGTTTACCCTTGTTCCACAACCCAGACCGCCTGTCGGAGGAGCTCCCACCTGGGCTGCGGTAGCGGCTGCAGCTGTGGCCGTGGTACTGCTTGGAGGCCTCGGGACTCCACAGGCGGCTGCAGTTTCTGCTTCAGGAGACAGAGGGCTTCTCAGGGGCTCTGTCTGATCATCTAGGCCGAGAGGATGTGTCCCATGGAAGATGGTTCTGCTGCTACTGGCATTACTTCCTCAGACAGAAGCTCTGCGTAGAGTGAAGAGGGAGTCAGGTGGACACCCCCTCCCCCAAGTCCTGAACGGGACAGGGGCCCAACCCTTGGATACTAGTTTCTGGTTGTGCTCCTGCTGGTTCCAGAACCTCTTCCTCTGCACCTTCTGGAAAGGGTCCTCAGAGCCTTCCTTGCAGCCCTTAAGGTAAGCATGTCCATGGCTCCTTCCGCCCCACTCAGCCTCCAGTGGAGACCTTTGCGTATCTCCTTTGCAGTTCACATGGATATGAAAGGCTCCTCTTCTAGAGGATGGGCAAAGATGCTCTGTCCAGAGGCCATTCCTGACTCTGGACCTCCATCCATACTCCTGATTATCTCAGAGTCTCTGGCCTCCTAACCTCTCTTCTTCAGCCCGACAAAGGAGGCTGGCAGTCCTTGGACCAGAAGAGACTGCTGAGCAGAGGGCTCTTGGTTTCTCCCTCCCCTGGGATAGCTTTGACATCCTTCCTGGTCTTTTGTGTCCTCCAGGAACCTTCTGCCCGGATGTTTTGTGTTGGAAATTTCTAAGCGCTCACTTAGCCTCGTGACCTCAATCTTGCTGCAGTAATCTTGTCTCTGTCTGAGACAGCCATGCTCATCTATCCTGGGGAAGAGGGGAGCTGGGGACCCTTCTCTCAGGCTCCCAGTGGTCCTACTCACACATAGACTTGTACTTGTATGATCCCTATTGGGGTAGAGAAGAGAGATTCAAATACCTCAGAAAGGGAGGTGCTTTCTGGATTTGGGTGGGTTGTGTTTTTTGTTGTTGTTGTTTTGGTTTTGTTTTTGTTTTTCTGGAACTAAGAACCTAACCCAGGACCTTGTGCTTGCTAGGCAAACACTCTACTACTAAGCTAAATCCCTAACCCTGAGACAGAGTTTTATATAGCCTTATGAACTCACTGTATAGCCAATGTTAGCCTTAAGCGTCTACTCTTCCTGCCTCTACTTCTCAAGGGCTGGGATTATAAGCATGTGCCACCACACCTAACTCTCCCTTTCAATTTACCTCAGCTCTCAATCCTCCTCCTCCTTCTCTTTTTTCCTTACATTTTTATCTAATGGGCGTGGACACTGCCATGCCACCGTTGGAGGCCAGAGGACAGTTTCTGGGAGCCAGTTCTCCCCTTTCACCCCGTAGGACACAGGATTAAACTCAGGGTCTCAGTCTGGGCAGCAAGTGCCTTTACATGCCAAGCCATTTTGTGAGCCCAATCTCTGGTCTCTGTCTTTGTCTCCTCTGGGTTTCCTTTTCTCTTTGTTTCATTCATTCATCTTTCTTTCTTCTTTCCTTTTTCTTGTTTTTGACTCTAGCCCAAGCTGCCTCAGTCTCCCTGGTACTGGGGTTATAGATGTGTACCACTGTGCCTAGTGGATTCACAGAGGACTTCGAAATTCGGGAATTGCGATACCATCACCCGAGTCCCACAGATGGACCTGAGCATCACTAACTGTGACAGAGCCAGTCACTGTTTGTCCGATGTCACGATGCAGTCTGAAGCATTTGGTGTCGCCTAGAAAAGATTCTGGCCGAAAGAAACAGACAACCTGCTCAACGTGAAATAAATCAAACCCCCATTGCTCATCACGTGTGTGCATGGTCATGAGTGTGCAGGTGCTCATGCTCATGGAAACCAGAGATTTGTTCCTTACAGCAAGGTCCACCTCAAAAAAAAACAAAACAAAACAAACAAACAAACAAACAAAAAACCTTTGAGACAAGGTTTCTCCATGTAGCTCTGGCTGTCCTGGAACTCATTCTGTAGACCAGGCTGGCCTTAAACTCACAGAGATCTGCCTGTCTTTGACTCCCAAGTGCTGGGATTAAAGGCGTGCGCCACCACCACCCAGCTGATTTTTTTTTTTTTTTAAATAAATCACAGTCTTTTGCTAGGTCCTGTCTCTGCATCCTCAGCTCTGAAATTACACTCTTGCCACCATGTCCACAGTTTTCGCAGAGGTTCGGAGAACTGAATTCATATCAAGTTTAAATGCCAAGCAAGTGCTTTACCTACTGAACCAACTCCTCAGCCCCCTCTTTAATGAGAAATACAGGAGATGGAGAAACAAACGACACAAGAAGGAAGTAACTAGACTCTGGTAAAATGTGGACGATTTTAAGAAAATCTGACCCAGTTACCTAGATAAGTCAATAGCTGTGGGGAAAATGAGAAGAGACTTAAAACAGAACTGCAGAGCTGAGGGCAGACTTCAGTGTTAGCGCCCAGTGACCCACGAGGGTGGGAGGGTATAGACGACCACACCGGAACTTGGGGATCTCTTTTTGTTCAAGATTTGGGGGTGCCAACCATCAAAAGATATTTCAGAAGTTGAGAACATTTAGATGTAGACTGGGTTGTAGTTTTTGTTTTTGAGACAGGGTCTAATGAATTATGCATGCAGCCCTGGCTGGCCTGGAACTCACTATATAGATCAAGTCGGTCTTGAACACACAATGATCTGCCTGCCTCTGCCTCTCCAGTTCTGGATGAAATGTGTGTGTCACCATTCCCAGTTTGTGTTCTACTGCTCTTTCTAAAATTTACTTAACATTTACCGTGTGTGTGTGTGTGTGTGTGTGTGTGTGTGTGTGTGTGTGTGCGTGTGCACACACACACAATGAATGTGGAGGTCAGAGGATATTTTTCAAGTCTGTTCTGTTCTTTCCTTCCACCAAGTGGGTCTTGGGGATCAAACTGAGGATGTCAGGCAGGGTGGCAAGCAGTCAACCCTTTGAGCCATCCCACTGCCCTGGATTGAGTTTTTTGTTTGTTTTATTTTGTTTCTGAGACAGGGTTCCTCTGTGTAGCAACCCTGACTGTCCTGGAACTCATTCTGTAGACCAGGCTGGCCTTGAACTCAGAGATCCATCTGCCTCTGCCTCCCAAGTGCTGGGTTAAGGGCGTGCACCACCACTGCCCAGCTGGACTGAATTTATTTTTTTTGTTGTTGTTTTATTTTTTGTTTTGTTTTGTTTTTCAAGACTGGGTTTCTCTGTGTAGTTTTTGGTGCCTGTCCTGGATCTCGCTCTATAGACCAGGCTGGCCTTGAACTCACAGAGATCTGCCTGGCTCTGCCTCCCAAGTGCTGAGATTAAAGGCGTGTGCCATCACCGCCACCCAGCTTGGACTGAGTGTTTATGATGCCAAGAAATCAGTGCTAGTTCGTTAGATATAAGTGTGGCCCTGAGGCTATCTCCTAACATTGATACAGAAGTGTGGAATAAAACAACCTCCTTAATTTGAAATGTCTCAAAGGAGAAAACAGAAGAAGTAAGAGTCACAGACGCTATAATGTTGAATTAAATATGTATGGGCTCACAGAATTATGTGTTCCACATTTGAGTATGTTTGAACACTTTAATAATAAAAATTCGAAATGAAACTGCGCTGGTAAATTGATTTCTAGCAACTCTCCGAGCATTTCTCCCTGAAAGCCAGGATTTCCTCATGGCTTCTCACACAGATCCTAGCCCTGCCTGCTCCATTAGAAGGCTGGTAAACTGCACAGACAGGCCACTCTATCCTCTAGTCACTTGCTAGCAAATTTCCCAACAAGATCTTTTGCAGTTGTACCTCACAGTCCAAGGGGTCACAGCAATCTTAAGAGTATATTTTGAACAGATCCTACAATAATCCAAAATAATGTAGGGACTGGAGAGATGGCACAGTGGTTAAGAGTGCATACTGCTCTTGCAGAGGACCCACATTTGGTTACCAGCATCCACATGGCAGTTCACAACCTTCTGTAACCTAGATTCCAGAGGCTCTGATGCCCTCTTCTGGCACCTCAGGGAACTACATGCATATGGTAGGCATATAAACATACATATAGGCACACATAAAATCAAAATAAACAAATAAATTATTTTGTTTTGTTTTGAGACAGGGTTTCCCTGTGTAGTCCTGGCTGTCCTGGAACTCACTATGTTTTTCAGGTTGGCCTCGAACTCAGAGATCTTCCTGCCTCTGTCTCCCAAGCCACCATGCCTGGTTAGTAAATCTTTTTTCCTTCCTTCCTTCCTTCCTTCCTTCCTTCCTTCCTTCCTTCCTTCCTTCCTTCCTTTCTTTCTTTCTTTCTTTCTTTCTTTCTTTCTTTCTTTCTTTTTCTTTCTTTCTTTCTTTCTTTCTTTCTTTTTTCAAGACAGGGTTTCCTTATGTAGCACTGGCTGTCCTGGAACTCAATTTGTAGACCAGGCTCACAGAGATCCTCACCTCCAGAGTGCTGGGACTAAAGGTGTGCACCACCATTGCCCAGCATAATAAATCTTAAAACAAAACAAAAGTAGGTTATGGTGTAGCTTTTAATCCCAGTATTCAGGAGGCAGAGGCAGGCAGATATTTGTGAGTCTACATAATGAATTTCAGGACAGTCAGTGATACAATAAGACTCTGTCACACTAATTAACAGATTATTGGCTGGCAAGATAGCTCAAGAAGCAAAGCTTCTTGCCATCAAGCCTGATGACCTGAGTTCCATCCCTGGAACCCACATGGTTGAAGGACAAAATTGACTCATTGGAAATTGTCCTCTGACCTCCAAAAAGGAATTAAATTCACCAGGCCTGGTGGCGCAGATCCCAGAACTAGATAGGCAGAGGCAGGCAGAGCTCTGTGAATTTGAGGCCAACCTGATCTACACCGTAAGTTCCAGGCAGCCAGGGCCACATAGTAGTGAGACCTTGTCTCAAAAATAAATAAAATTGTTAACAAATTGTTTCTCCTGATTAAACCTCAGATCCTTCCACCCTATATTCTTCAAGGTTTTGAACAGACATAATCAACAGTTACCAATAGCTTATGCAGGTACCACACCCATTTCATCTTCCCAGGAACTGTGTGAGGATGAAGCCGTCGACCTGATTCCTGCTTCACCTCTTACCATGGACCTCTGGACAAGCTACTTCTACCTGGGGCCTAATAGCACCTGCCTTATGGATTATTTTGACAGTTAAATGAGATCTGTCATCTATAGTAGTTGGCCAAGGATTTTTTTTTCAGTGTTAGGGATCAAAGGCTCTCATTCATGGTAGGCAAATGTTCTATCACTGATCTACATAATCCATGGGTAACATTATAAAAGACAGGTATGGTCCCTGTGGGTGTGAAATGTGTGCAGGGCTGCATCTGCAAATAGGGCTTCCCACAACTGGAGGTGTTATGCTTGCTATGGGGACATCTCTGCAACCAGGTGTGAGCAGAGTGATGTATATAAACCTGTATTTGGTTTGGTTTTTTTCAACCCTGACCCACTTGCCACATTTCTTCTATGAAATATGTAACTGAAAATGGAAATTTTAGATTTGATTTTAAGAAAGAAAGAGTGTGCCTTTAATTCCAGCACTCAGGGGGCAAAAGCAGAGCGATCTCTGAGTTCAAGGCCAACCTGGTCTACAGAGCTTCCAGGGCTGTTACACAGAGAAATGCTGTCTCAAAAAAAAAAAAAAAAAGAAAGAAAGAAAGAAAGAAAGAAAAGAAAGGAAGACCTGAAGAGAAGACTCGGTACTTAAGAGGACCCAGGGTCAGTTCCCAGCACCCACATGGTGTCTAACAATTATCTGTAACTCCAGTCCCGGGGCTCTGACACCCTCTTAGGCCTGCACAGACACTGAACACATAGTAAACAGGAAGAAAAGGCAGTTGGCTCCTGAGAGGTTGAGGCAGGACCGTCTGGGCTACAGAGTGATCCCTGCTTAAAATTAATGAACTAAATTTTTTGTTTCATTTTTGTATTTCGTTTTTGTTTTCCAAGACAGGGTTTCCCTGTGAAGCTCTCGCTGTCCTGGAACCACTCTGTAGACCAGGCTCGCCTAGAACTCAGAAATCTGCCTGCTCTGCCTCCTGAGTGCTGGGACTAAAGGCGTGCACCACCACACCTGGCAGCTAATAAATTTTTAAAGCCAGGCATTGCTGGATATAGTGGCAGGTGGCTAAGACTTTGAGACTAGCCTGTCTACAATGCAAGTTCCAGACCGGCCAAGGCTGCATACTGAGACCCTATTCCCCCACCAAAAAACAATATAGAGGAGAGATGGCTCAGAGGTTAAGAGCATTGGCTGCTCTTCCAGAGGACCTGGGTTTGATTTATCTGACACCCTTTTCTGAACTTTGTGGGCACTTCATGCACATGGTGCACAGATAAACATGCAGACAAAACACTCATACACATAAAATAATAAAATCATATATATACATATATGTGCACGCACGTGCGCGCGCGCACACACACACACACACACACACACACACACATCCTTCTGGCATCTGAGGCAAATAGTTTGCCAGCTGAGATGGGGTCTTGCTCTGTAGTACAACCAATCTTACAGGCCTGAACAGATGTCTCAGAGGTTAAGAGTATTTACTTCTCTTTTCCAGGGGACATGGGTTTGGTTCCCAGCACCCATATCAGGCAACATGTAACCACCTGTAACTCCAGGTCCAGGGACTCCAAAGCCTTCTGGCCTCCAAACGTAACTGCACACAGGTGGCACACATAAACTCCTGAAGCCTCATACACACACATAAATAAAAATAACAAATAAAAATTTAAACAACAACAAGAAGTACATATACTCAGAGATTGGGCACATAATTATTATCCGATAAATATTAACTGTTAACATGGACCAGGACTTTCTACAGTAATTTACATGGATTAAATTATAAATTCGTGTGAAAATTACCTGTGAATAATTAGTGTATTTATTACATCGTCATTGGCTGCTTTAGTTATTGGGCATACAGATGGAGAAAAGAAATGCCAGTCTATAGGGAGAAGTAACAAGTAAGTAAACAGAAAACTCAGTCACCGGATGGCGATAAGTGCTATGGAGAAGAAACAGCAGAGAAGGAAAGACCGAAGGAAAGCAGATCTCGGAGCTGCTGCTGCTGAATTCCAAGCTCTTGGGAGATGGAGGCGTGAAGGTCAGGAGGTCAAGGTTAATTTTGGCTACATCCTGAGTAGAAGGCCAGTCTGGGCAACACAAGACCTCGCCTATAAAAACAAATGTTGTCACACACACCTTTAATCCCAGCACTCGGGAGGCAGAGACAGGCAGATAGATCTCTGTGAGTTCCAGGCCAACCTGGACTACAGAGTGAGTTCCAGGACAGCCAGGGTTGTTACACAGGGAAACCCTGTCTCGAAAAATCAATCAATCAATCAATCAATCAATCAATCAATCAGTAAGTAAATAAGCCAAAAGGGACGGGGCTAGGGATGTGGTTCAGTTGATAGAGTTCCTATCTAGCACATATAAGGCTCAGCACTCAGGATCATAAGGTTCAAGATCAAATTGGGCTACAAACTTTAGGCCTGGGGATTCATGAGAACCTGTCTCCCAAACAAAGGAGGGAGAGATCTGGAAGAGCCCAAGAGCAATTGTTGCTTTCGCAGAGGACCAGAGTTTGGTTCTCAGCAAACACATGGCTTTTCACAAGTGTCTGTAACTCCAATTTCAGGGGATCTGACACTTTTTCTGACCTCTGTGGACACTAAGCACTTGCATCATACACAGACATACATGAAGGCAAAACAAAATTAAACGGGGAACTCCCCACAAAACAAAAAAAAAAAACTGTTTTGTGAAAAAGAGAATGACAAGAATGACTTCTTTGTTTGCTTGTTTTTTTAATTTTTAAAAAAGATTTATTTTATTTTAAAATGTATTTATAACCAGGCATGGTGGTGAACACTTTTAATCTCAACACTCAGGAGGCACAGGCAGGTGGATTTCTGTGAGTTCGAGGCCAGCTTGGTCTACAAAGTGAGTTCCAGGACAACCAGGGCTGTTACACAGAGAAACTCTGTCTCAAAAAAGCAAAAATAATAATAATAATAATAATAATAATAAAATTTTTAAAATGTATTTACTTTTTTATGTGTATTAGTGTGAGCCTAAGTGATTGTATGCATACTACTTTCATGCAGGTGCCTTCACAAGTCAGAATAGGCCAGTCAGATTCCCCTGGAGTTGCTGGAGTTACAGGTAGTTATGAGTCATGTACTGGATGTGGGTACTGGGAACTAAACTCTTAGTCCTCCGCAAAAACAGCAAGTGCACTTAATCTGTTAATCACTGAACATTCTCTCTACCCATCGTCATCATCATCATCATCATTATATTTTTTTGGAGGGGACAGGATCTCATTCTAGTCTAGTAGTCCTGGAACTTACTATGTAGCCCAAGTTGATTTTAAACTCTCAGTAATTCTCCTGCCTCAGCCTTCCAAGTGCAAGGATTACCTAAGCCACCATGCCATGGTAGGAAGTCTTCTCCAATAACGTGACATTTGAAAAGAAAACTTGAAGAGGTAAAGAAGGTAACCATCTGTCGTGGA